CTAAATTGTCGAGGCCCAAAAGCCCTCGAGGCTCAAAAACCACCGCCCTTTTAACGCGGCGAGGCCTAATAGCAGTAGTAGAGTAGCAGTAGCAGTAGTAGTAGTAGTCGTCGTCGTCGTAGTAGTAGTAGTAGCAGTAGTAATAGTAGTAGTAATAGCGGCAGCAGCAGCAGCAGCAGGAGTAGTAGTAGTAGTAGTAGTAGTAGCAGTAGTAGTAGTAGTAGGAGGAGTACTAGTACTAGTACTAGTAGTAGCCGTGGTAGTAGTAGTAGTATTATTATTCGTAGTAGTAGAAGCAATATCATTATCTCCATTATTATTAGTAGTAATAATAGTAGTACTAGTACTAGTACTAGTATTAGTACTACTAGTAGTAGCTTCTTAGTAGTAGTAGTAGTTGTTGTTGTTGTTGTTGCAGAAGCAGTAGCAAACGCAGTTCTCTGAACCCCACAACCCAAAAAGCTGTTTCAGACTTGGGCTACTTCTGGGCAGCAGCGGCGGCAGTTGCAATACAAGCGCCTGCAAAGGCACAAGAGCAGTAGCCAGTCTCATGTAAAAGTGCACAATTAAAGCAAACTGTTTGGTGCAGTGAGCGAAGATTCCAGGACTCCAAGTTTCCAGCTTTTGTCGGCAGCCATTTGCCACAATGCATTTCCCGAAACCACTGGCACTGGTGTGAAAGCAACGCTGGAGGTGTTGCTTAGGTACATCGTGTACACGTCGCATGATGGAAGCATGCGTGCCAGCTTGCAGCAAAATGACATTGAGCGTTCACAATCTGCTAAGCTAATGATCTTGCCCGACCTCTGCAGGGTAACGTGCGCGGCGAGGTCGGGAGTCCGAGCTACTCGGGAGCGAGGCTGAGCCTCCACCAAATCATTCGCAACAGGTCACCACACTTCGTCTGTGCCGTTTATGCTGTCGTCAGCAATTTCAGGCATTTCAGGCAACGCTTGGACGTGATTCGCCGGGCAGGCGTTGCTTTGTTCGGGCTTGCATTTCGAGGGTTCTGTTCGGGATCCTGTGCTGCAAAAAGCCGCATCCAAAGAATGATTCCTCCCGCACCGCTTACATGATTTACTTCGTGCGTGAGTACTGGAGAGCTTCCTTTACTTATCTGCAATCACCAAAATTGGCCTGCGGAGTTCTTGCTATAGGAATTGCTTGGCTCGATACGTACACTGTCAGCACAGGTCTAGGCCTAGAGACGCTGAGAAAAGCTGAGGGGCTGAGAGGCCGGCTCATGGCGCGGTGAGCCTGGGATGCATGGCCGCGCGACTAGAAGTAGATTAAGTCCCTGGTCGTGAGGATTATGAAAGCTCTGGTCGCAGCACACTCGAGCTTCCTGCTTCCCACCTCCCCTTGAAAGATTCAGAATGTTGGCTTACCTGGTGACTACCGAACTGGTCCCAGATGGAAGATGTTCACAGTTTCCAGCTCCCCAAGATTCCTACATACGCGATGCGGACAGTTTCAAAGACTCTGAACGTGCCAGCGCACCAGGCCTTCAACTTCCAGCAACTTTGAACACTTCATGGCAGATACATCCTGAACGCACCACTGTGGGCAAAGGTCCGGAAAGATATCTCGCATGCAAGGTAATGCAGCTGAAACGGATCCAATAAAACAATGGAACAAGGCTCACGCTACCATCTAATGAAGCAATGCACGATGACATCATCTCTCACCAAGCCACTCTCGATTGTCTGCACAAACGGAAGGGAAGCGTGCCTTTGCACCTCCTTTGAGCCGAGGCAGTAAATGCATGAGCTGGTGCAAGTGGCAAACAATTTGACCGTCAGCGCCTTACAAATGCTGCAATAGAAGCATGCAAGCATGCTTCTCGTCATATGAAAGGGCAAATGACAACACCAGGGCAGACTAACTTCCTAGTAGTAGGAGAATGGAAGGATTGTCTGGCTACTGATCAGGACCACCTGCCGTTGACGTCCCTATGCTGTCAAATCCGGAGGGTCTGGACCGCACTTCTTCCGGAAGTTTGGATTTTGATGTGTGTCGATCTGTTTTGGGAGCACGATGATGATCAAAGTGACGATGATGTGTATGGCCGCCCCCCCAGGATGCAACAGAAACAAGGAAGTCATGTTGCACGAAACGCGTGCTTGGTGTGGACGGTCTGGAGCGGGGCATGGAATGAATCCCGCCTGGTTCGAGCCCCTTGTTCAGGATCAATATGGATCAATATCGCGGGGTAGCAATATCAAAGTTGTTCTCCGGAAGTACACATTCGCCTTTGGCTCGTTTTTTTACTCATTGTGATGCCTAGTTTCTGAAGTTGGCGGCGAAAGGCTGCTGGACCAAAAGATAAACTAGGAACGCAGTTTTGTCCATCGCGAGGCTTCGCTAGGTTCGGGCAAGGTCTGTGGGCTGTCCATTTCGGCACTATCGGCAAGCCCTGCCGAAGCCAAAACACAGGTGACGCTTCAATACCCTACACCTGTTCGCACCGGGCTGCACCGGGGACAGTCCACTGACCTTGTTGTCACTGCCCGCAGGGCATTTGAACCATCGCGTGCCCTCTGGTGCCGATCTCGGCCCAACACGTGGCAAGGCCACCAAATGGGGGAGGACAAGCGCTGTGACAAAAAAATCAACGCGCCGCAGTCTGCGAAGTCATAACGAAGCGTGCAGCTCCTGTGCGGCAATAATAAAAGGCCTTGTGCCAGGAGGATTTGAGAAGCCTGGGTGACTCGCTGCACAGCAGCTTCAGATGAAATGTGCGAAGGCCTCACAGCTTGCAAGCATTACAACATGTTGCATGTAGCTGCGGGAAACGAAGCAAACCCAAGCATGACAAGGCTGCTGTCAAGATGAGTTGTCAAACAATCAGTTTATTCATCTGCTCCCAGGCTTCCATGGCTTAAACTGTCACCATTGGACGATCTACTGCTGGAGTTCATCTCCGGGCATCTTTGCCGGAAACCATCGAGAGCGGCTATTCTTCTCCAAGAAGACATGGCAGACAGGACTTTGACAATCAAAACCGTGCAGTATGTCTCCAGTTGTTTATGTGGGTCAGCGACTCAAGTATACCGTGAAGGGAATTTAGCTTTGCATCTCGTCTGCCAATGCTTCGCTCGCGAGGCCAAGAAGCTTCACGCGCTATCGAGTAAGTTGTAATCCCCGTCCAGAAAAGCTTCTGAATGTTGTGTCTCAAGTCCTAGCGGAAGTTCGTGTTATGTTGTACTCGGTGCGCCAGCTGAATCATGGATAACAATCCGTCATGCAAAGTCATGCCTGGTTTCTGGCATGACGCATGGCTGGCCACTAGTCAAGTGACTCTGCTGGAACATTTTGCTCTGAAATGTCTTCTCAAAAATGCACTCTACAGTCTTGGACCTGTGGCCAGTCAGGGAACTCGTGCAGGGTCTAAATTCCAATCCTTGTGGGCGCGGAAATTGGATGGGTCATTCCAGCATACTGCAGCAAGTCAGCCAGCTTTTGAGTTTGCCTGTGGCACAAAGATTCTTGCAAATGCGACATACCTCCGGTCAAACCTGCCAACTGCCAAGCTCACCATCCTGTCCATCAAGCCATTCCTCTTTGTATATGACTGATGGGAGCCGAAGCTCAATCGGTCTCAGGTTATGAGAAGAGTGCCGGGGGACCTATCGACGAATGACCCAGCCAATTGCCTCTGGTGTACTGCCATTCAGCTCGGTTGCACCTGAAAAGCTGAAACTCTGAAATCATTTGTTTGGTGACAGCTTTACATGTTACAAGTATTCCAGCAGCTGCACAGGACCTAGAATTTTACCAGTTTCTGGAATTCCGTGATGGGACCGTCGTCACACCCCCCCCCCTGGCGCAGAGCAAAATTCCAACCCCCAGTCAGACTCACAGAGAGGAATCAACCCCTTGAAGCAGTTGGGACTGAGGTGCCGTTATGATTGTTGCATGTTGTTGCAGCTGGTCCCGTGTTAACATGTGAAGTTCGCGGCACGTGCAGGATTTGCCCTTTCTTCTCAGGCTAGTTGCTGATTGCGGATCTGCATCATGCTGCCCATCTGTATCTCACTTTACTAACTCCGCATGAATGGGTCCTCCTCATCGTCCCCGTCAGCTTCACATTTGCTTCTTCTCAGCTTCGTTATGTCTTGCATGTAGGGCTTGTTTTGCAGCAACTTGTGCGTCAATGACGTGGCGGTAGCAGTAGGTCCCAGGCAGGGATTGTAAAATGTTGGCTTGCCAACTGAAAATTCATTTTACGTGCCATGGGTGCACGACCAGGCGACAGCCACCGCAATTTTGAGGTCCAAGCCTCTGGGCAATTTTTCGAGCTTGAGCTCTTGTGACATATACAGCTGCTACAGGCATCTGCGCCCGATTCACACCATGAACCCCGCTGAGTTTGAAGAATTTCTTGTAGCCGTGAAGAAGCCTCACAGACTCAAACTGCGAGCGATAGATTCTGGTTCTGGGTAAGACTTATCGCACATGGTTGCAGAAGCAATTAATGCGCCTGGATTCTTTGTTCAAACCTATGGACATTTGTTCCAACGCCAAGTGGCTCTGAAAGGAAGATGCCCTTCTGCTACGTCCGAGTTGACATCATTTATTGAAGCCTGTAACTGACTAAATTGTGCCAATCTTGCTGTGATCCCGGCCAAGCAGCTGACTCATAATTGGTTAAAAGAAGCAGCAGGCTTGCCTGCAAAATGGGCTGGTAGTATCAGTTGAAGGCTTAGATGCGAGGACTTCTCCAAATAGGGGCACATGTCATCCGGTAGTATGGCTTGGATACTTGCGTAGACCTCCCAGCCTACGTCTCAAGACCCTACGCAGCATCAAGAGTTTCACTTGATGTCTCGGAATGAGCTACGCGAGTTGTCAAATTTCTTCTTAGGATTTCTCAGGGTCTTTGCAACATGGTCGAGTCTTCATTGCAGTGCCGTTCTAACTTTGAGATTTCATGGATCACGTGGTGAAGCATGCTAGACTTTCAGCCTTGATCGCGGAGGGCGGCGCTGATCGGGCCCCTGCCGCAAACAACCCATGCACAAAAATCAGGATGATGAAGGCGAGCCGTGGTATCAAAACGACTGACCTGCTCCTTGGCAGCAGCTACAAAATCTGCCGCACATGTGTAGCCTCTACTCAACCAGCCTTAACCTGAAACCTTGCTGAACATGGATGCTTTGGGAACGGATGTGGAGAATGGACGTGGTTATGTTTTGGGCATGGATCTTCTGACTTAGATTCAGGTGGACTTGCAAATTTGGCTTGAAAAGCGCGATGAAAACGTGTGGCGAACTAAACCATGACCAGCAACTATCTGCCACCGCCACCCGTATCCCGTTTCCGGAGGCGCAGCTGCATAATGTTTCAACCACTCGGGGCGCTTGCTCTGTGAACGATTCGGCATGTTATGGATCAATGCTTTGGCCTGGCCCATCAGGAAGACATTGCTCATCTCTCGCTCCGTCCTTGCGACCAACATGAACCGTGAAAAGTCTGAGCTCAAGCGTAGATTTCTGAAGGGTGAGATTTACTCGTAGCTCAGAGGCTGGCTCCAGCTAGTGATGCGGCTGAGTTGCTGCAAAGAAATCACAGCAGCTGCCTTAGTTGGCCGAGCTTGCGTTTACAAACTCTACATCGTCGCATGTTGATACGTTGCCAGCTGTCAGGAACTTTGCGCGCACTTCCTGAGACATCCCGCTGTCTGATATGCAGAAGACTATCTAGCTTGCAGACGTCTTGATCTGAAGCTTCATGTTGGTGGACATTGGTGGACAGTGTTGTGGGAGCAAGACTCAGTATTGCCGAAACATTTTAAAGATCATCTGAGTGTCTGCGGCGACTTCAAGGGAACGGCCCACCTAATCACAAGGCCGCAAGGCGAAAAAATGAAGGTTTCACATTGTTGTACATACACATATGTCTCTGCTGTGACAATAGTGCAGCCACACACGGCTACATGCAAGGCCTCAAAAACTTGACCCAACAGTGGATGGACGCAGAACAATGATTGCATGTAGCGGTTCCATGTCATGGCAGGCCGATGTGGCTGTGCACAAATGTCACGAGGGTTCCAGGGTTCAGCAGATATAAGCTTGAACGATGGAAAGATGCAAGTCCAACTTGCCAGCTGATATCCTGACCTCAGCGCTGAAGCGTTGTCGTCTTTCGCGGCCGAACTCACCTTTGCCACAAGAAATCTTGACTTTACCTTTTTAGTCTTGCGCAAAAACCTAGGGAAATCCACTATGCCAAGGGCCCATGGCTTGCCCAGCACAGGTTCGTTGAATCATCGGTTTAGTACCTTCTGCAGCTGCCCCAAAATGGCGATAATCAGCATCATGTGCATAGCACTCAGGCATGGCCTAATAACATGAGGCATTATTATTTGTTTTGTCCCCAATCCTGTCACGGGGGATGGAAACAATCGTGAACAATCTCATAAATTCCCGGCGGGCCCTTACTAATATGCGGGGTAAATTATGCAAACGCTTGCTGGGAGTACTAGCACAGTTGGCAACTTCTCATTTGCAGGGCGGGAGCTAGATGTGGAGCTCGAGGACGTCGCGGACTTCGGGCTCTCGAGGTCACCTGGGGCGGAAGGTCACTGCACAGCACTGCACCCTCCACGGCTCAAAAGGATTCCGCCTTTCCCCGCATTGCAGCAACATGCAGGAGGGGTTGCTAGTGCCTTGCCCCATTCACGCGGATTTGGAATTTCTTTTCTGCTACCACTCCGCTTCTGCTCAGGGCCAATGGCCTCCCCTCCAAGGTGAGCTGGCATTTGGAAAGCTGATGACCTAAGGCCGCGACTCATGACGCTGCTGGCCTCATGCGTGAACTGCTGCACACAGCAACATAGACGTTACAGGCTATCAAGCACAATATGCCAATCAGGTTGAGCGATACTTCGAGCGCGCCAGGCAATCCTACAGTACAGGGTTGTCCAGGTTGGGTCAGCCATTTACTCAGATTCCCGAGGTGCAATATGCAGGCTGGCGGCAGGCATAGCACACGCTTCCCCACAATCTTCTATGTAAGGTGACGCAGCCCACTCAAGAGGCATGCGTCCTTAAGCCAAAATGCCGACATCGAGGGGAATCCTACCGTACTTGCAGGGCAAGTGTGGCGATTTCAGCATCTGTCACAACTGAAGGAAAACGATTCAGCATCAGAGCTTCCAGAGTTTTGCAAACTTCCTCAAATTCACTTCAATCGGATCTATTTGCTTGGGGAGAAGTCTGCACCCTCATTGTACCAGAAATGAAATAAAAACATGTGGCTACTCGTCCTGCTCGAGCTCACAAATCATCCCGCAACTCCAACAGACTAGTCTTTCTTCAGGGAAATGAACCAATCCAGATTATGTTCTTCTTATGCCACACTATACCAAAAGGGCGATAATCATGATCTTACTTCATTTGGGGCAGTATAGTACACCCTTCACAAAAAATTCCCAACAAGCCTTGATAGCTGTGAATGCAGCACCTACACTAAGCGTCCTCTCATGTGTTACATCAACAAGAGAGGAGCTAAGGCGCTGCACTGCATGTAGGCACCCCAAGTGCCTGCTCGGCATCCCAGTCAACCTGACAAGCTGCCTGCCAAATGATAGCAACCGAACTTTCGCAGAACTCGGCAAGCAGGCTGCCACAGGAAAAGATCACAAAACTAAGCAAACGCCAACAGGCTGACTGGGCGAAGATTTCCGACTCATGCCTCCGCCTGGAGAGGCAACCGGGTCACCGCAGCCGGCTCCGCAAGGCATCCCTCCACACGAACACAGAACTGCTTCACTTGGCTCCAGGAGTACCAAGATTGATGTCTCTTGCGCATGTATAGCTGAAGGGCACTGCAGGGCGCAGTGTGAGCGTCACCGCATGCAATCCTGAGGTACTTCAATCAGGCACTGCATCCAAGCTTGTCATCTTTCTTGACGCTAGGAATGTCTGCCGTCGCCTCAGTCCTTTAAGAAAGTAAATTGCTTTCAGCAACTTCTCCTGGACCTGCGCCAAGTAAGCGTGACAATCAATGATTCTAGTTCCATACCCAAATTGTCGCAATGGGCCGCAAGTATTCTAGAGTCTAATTTCTAGAGCTTTGCGACGCCTCTCGGTTGAGGAGTTGGAAGAGTAGAGATGGCCAGTTAGAAATGGAGCCCACTGATCTGGTTGAATTGCAGCTGTCGTGTGGAAGATGGACCTTACCGCTTATCAGCATTTTGTGACTAGGTCTCGAGAAGTTCTGCCATAAAGTCAGAAGTCAAGGCTGCCGTCCATCGTCCCGGAGCATCGTCCAACATTCTAAAGCGCTCTGCAAAATTCGCAAGCCCGGTGACTTGCAAGGGGCATCAGGGGTAAAAATGCCGTGAAGGCAGGCAGGCCCACAGCTGCCAACTGTCAACGAATAATTGTCGAGGCCATCTGATATGCGGACCGGCGGGTTCCAGGACCGCAGTCAACCTACAAAACTTGGAAACGGCAAACTCCTTGCTCTGAACGAGCGGCAGTCGTACCAAGATTCTCAGCTGTCCGGGTATCCAGACCCAAGTTTTCTAAGATCCTACCGCTGGACAGCTATGTGAGACAAAAAAGGGCACATGCAAGTCTTTCCGAGGTCTGTACTTCTGCAGGGGTATAGGGACCGACAAGGGTCCCCACAACTGCAGTCTGGCAATTGCTTGCCCAAGGAGCTTCCTGATGCGTTCAGGCTACTTGCGGCTGCGAACACAGGAACTGAAATGCTCAGATGCTGATTTAAGTGAATTAACTGTCACAAATGGGAAACCAGGTGCTGTAGCTGGCTGAAGTCTCTACCCGCCCTTGGCAGGCTACGCTGACAATACACAACCCTTATCCTGGACACAGGCAAGGACCTGCTCAAGGCTCTGATGCAGGACATGTGCTATGATGAGTGATTTGTTTAAGGTGCACTTCTGTCCTCCTGGGTGGTGGGTTTAGGTTTTAGGGCTTAGGGGCCTAAATTATTACCATGTAGGCTTTTATGGCGATGTATGGGTTGAGGGTCTATGTCGGGTTTACATATGAGGTTTTAGCAGTGCAGGGATGCTGGACCCTACTTGGAGGTTCATTCATGGGACTTGATAATTATTTTCGAGGGGGATATTGGATACATAGGGTATGTATATGTAACCTTACACGGTTTGAGCAGATTTTTCCTTTGAAAGGTACTATGCCAAAAAAGATTGTTTCCAATCTTACTCTACATTGGGGACTATCCCGATGTGAAACATTATGAAACATTTCTCATCTGCTCGTGGGTCCTTACCTCGGGATGGGCTTTAGGGCTGCAAAATTTTCAAACAATGGTGAGCTGGTTTCGCATCTTAATACAGAGCCAGCGCAGTTCCTGAGCTGCCCGGGTATTGGGTTGAAATGGCAAATGCTGGGTTTTGGGAGGCGACAGAGTGCCCTGCCAGCTGGCTTTTATCGGATGTGTTGCTGGGATTTGTCGCCAGCTGCGGAGATTGTTAGCCGCCTCAAATGGACAAATGCTCGTGGAGTTGAAGCGCCCAGCAAGCAAGAACGATAAATGCTCACCAACTCTGGATGTAACGGACTTTTCCATCTCTTCCTCGTGCGACTTCAGAATTTGCTCGCGGCGCTTATTCATGACTACGATTCCAAACAACTGAGGAGCGAGTTCCAAGTTGGTTTTTCAGCGGTCCATCTGAGGTGCCGCTCATGCTTTCGTCGGTCGGGTGGAGTTGGAAACTCTTGCTGCCGGCTGGCCTCCACATCCTCTGATCTCATGGATGACCAGAGCTGGCACTCACGCTGAGCTCCGTGAAGTGACAAAGGCCCCTCTTCTCAATGCTCATTTCCCTCTTCCCATTTCTCCGGAGCTGGGCACGTGCTGGCATCCAGTGTCTGCGAGACTGCACTGGGAAGAAATGCAGCCACATCCAATTCGACAACATGGAGTAGCTTCTGCAGCTCTTGAGCCAAAGCAAGTGCCACAAACACAAATCACATAGTGTCAACATGCCACTACAACAGCTGTGTGGAATGTCTACATGGGCGTAGAAACACGCCTCCTTCCTGGCACCGCGTTGCGGGAAGTCCTCCCATGCCTAGCATTTTTGCCGAAGGAGCCAGCCATCCGCAGAGGTTGGCACACAAGAGTGCTACAACCTTTGAAGCAGGTGCCTACTATGTCACAGCACAACCAGTGTTGAATTTGGCGGCGACCTGCGAGCTAAAGTCCAGGTGCATGTGGCCTGCCATGCCATTCTGAGAAGAATGTGCTCTTTGCTCTGCAGTCGCCTTCAGTTTGTCAAACTCGAAAGCAAATTCCAAATGGCAACAAACTCAAACCTGCCTCAACAAAAGGTTGCTAGCACTTGGCCCGGGACTGCTGCACCCGAATTTGAAGCTGCGAAACACCCTGGCTGCGCCTGTGCTCCTGCAGGAGGGCTCTGTCGCCGCTAGCGATCTTCTTGTGACCCTACAGTGACACCTGCGAAGCTGACTTTCTGATTCGCACAATCCCTTCAGGCACATTGACACCAAGTTTACAATTCTGTAAAGTAAAACATTGAAAATTGGACGTACGCGCCTTTCGGACTCTAGCAGCCTGGGACTTGGCGGAGCTCTCGACCTCCAGATCCTTAGGACGGCGAAACTTGTGTGACGCCGCGTACCCCCCCTCAGCGCAGGAACAGTGGACATCGCTTCCCTCAAGCCTCCATACTGTAGTCTGACGTCTCGAGCAAATCAGTGTTTTGGGGATGTAAGGCCAGCTTAAGACAGTCCACAGCGAGAGTCCAGCATGGTTTCCTGGCTTGCTGGAGAAAACTGGTATGCACCGCCCTATCGCCTCTGAAAACAGCCACTAGCATATCCAGACTTCTGAGTTCTTGGCCCTTTGCATTTGCGCTACGCGACCATCCAAAGCTTCCCGAAGCGAGGCCTTCAATTGGGGAGCTCCTTCTTGTGTTGCTGTATGTCTCAACTGCTACCGCGTCACTGTGTGAGAACAAGACTGATCAAGTGGAAACATACAACGCATTGCATTTGGCAATCCAGAGAGAAGTTTGCTGGACACCTTCAAGGATTTGACAACTCTGAACCCCTTCTGGACACCCTCATCGGCACCTCGTCTTGCCAGTCCACCACACCTGCCTTTGCATTGCATGCTTCCACCACTTGCTACCACTCTGACGTTATTACTCCTGGAGTCAACAACCATTCGGGGTTGCAAAACGGCCCTGCCTCCTGCAGCTCGGCAAGAGGAAGAGATATCTCAGGACTGGTTGAGTGTCCACCTTCCTCACACATGATAGCGGGCAGCTTTCGTTACATGTTACACTGTTACATGCCGCAGGTTCCTATTGCAGCCACGAACGTTGGTACTTGAGCATTTCAAGCGGGATGAAACAAGAAGTTGTGTCGTATCACGAGATATGAGATCACAAATTGCAGTGACCTGTGCCTTGATTTGAAGCGGCACGCCGGTGTGCAAGCAACAATTGCTGAGACGAAGTTCCACACAAGCGGAAAGTCTACAAACCCGCACGCGCTCCACAGCAGGTGAAACAGAACGGGTGCTCCACCAGCACACGACCTAGCTGAGGTCTAACTGCAAGTTGCAGGTCCAGCGCAAAAAATCTGGACCAGTGAACAGCAGCTTTCAAACTCCTGACCCGATATTCCACCGAACTTTCATGACTCACTGAGCGCACGTGAGCAAACGCTCCTCGGAAAATCTTGCAAGCTGGGTGCCACAGGAGACTGGGTTGTCCCTCAGGTTTTGCAGCTTCCAAAATTTCCATAGTCTTCCATGACTGGGGACATGTGGGAATGTGCGCAAAGGAATAGCAGATGTTTGCAGCAATGAGCTAACTTTCTGATGTTTGTGGACTTAACCTTTCTGCAACTTGGGGTTTCTGAAGGTGCTCATGGTCATCGGAGGGATGTACAGCCTAGGCTCCTCCTTCCCGCGAGTTTTGACGAGTCATAGCCCAGTCACAGCCCATGACGACAACTTGCGAACATTGAGGCGAAGGCCGCTTTTGTGAATCACGACAAGCGTTGGGCAGTTGTC